GACAGGAGAATGGGACAGAATGTCTCTGCTGAATATTAGCAAAGTGCTAGAGATGTTCTGCAGAAATATGCTAATCTGGAAGAAAAATATACTGGATATGAAGACAAAAAAAACCTCATCTGAGCAGCTACTGGCTGACATGAAATCCCAGCCATAAGGAGGCTTTATGGGTCCTTTCCCAGGACCTTGCTGGGAAGGGTTTTGATACATTTAAGTATTCTTTGGTACAGCAAATTGAAATAAAATATTAATGTGAGGATCTTTTCTTCTCCACATTTTTTTGTTTCAGGTTCAACATTGGTTTTATATGGCTTTTATTCATATGGTTCTTTACTGCTTTCAAAAATCTTAAATAGATGTACAGAAATATTCTTAAAGACAAATTTAAAGACAAAGGTGTCCTTTGGGAAGCGTACAAAGTAATTTAAAAAAGTAAATGATCTTCTATGGCATTTTCATCTAATTTATCAAAACCAGTGAATAATTCTGAGGCCTGATAAATGCTCACACAGACTTATCACAGATCTTGGACTCAGTCATTTCCCTATGATCCAGTAAGTTGTATAGAGATAATTCAATATCCAACAACACTCATGCTCACATTCCCATTCATCAAGAAGTGCTAATGTAAGAACAGCTTCATAATGAGATTATGAAACCATAAAATTATTTTGATTGGAAATGATCCTTAGAATTATCCTGTCCAACTGCTGACCCAGCCCTGCCAAGTCCATCATGAAACCATGTCCCCAAGTGCCACATTTACACATCTTTTAAGTACCTACAGGGATGGTGATTCCACCATTTCCCTGGGCAGCCTCTTCCAAAGCTAGACTACCCTTTCAGTGAAGAATTTTTTTCCTGGTATCTAGTATAAACCTTTTCTGGTGCAACTGAGGCCATTTCCTGTTGTCCTACCCCTGTTTACCTGGGAGGAGGGAGTGACCCTCACTTGGCTATAACTCCCTTTCAGGGGGATAGAGAGGTCTCCCCTGAACCTCCTTTTCTCCAGGCTAAACACCCCCAGCTCCCTCAGCTGTTACTCACAGGACTTGTGCTCCAGACCCTTCCCAGCTCCCATTTCCCTTCTCTGGACAGGGTCCAGCACCTCAATGTCTTTCCTGTAGTGAGGGGTCCAGAGCTGGACACAGGATTTGGGGTGCAGGCTCAGCAGTACCAAGTATGGTCACTGCCCTGCTCCTTCTGGCCACACTTGCTGATACAGGCCAGGATGCCATTGCCTTCTCGGGCACCTGGGCACAGCTGGCTCACTGAGGACTGAACATCTTCCTTATTCCACCTACATTTACATTGATATATTTCTCTGCTACTTGGTCAAGTTGCTTAAACTTTTGGGTTTATTTTAATGTATGAATATTTTAAAAGCATTTTAACATTCTTGGGTTGAAAATGAATCATTGCAAATGATCATCTAATTGCTTAAATACTCAAATTTTGTATCCTTGGTGCTACAAGTAAACTTTTCCTTATTGAATTATTAAAAAAATATTTTCCATAAATAAAATCTTCAATCAACAGACCCCAAGTTTGTGGTGTTTTTTTTTTCCTTCTTTAGTAACATTATGTATTATTATTTTCAAGGTGAAATCAATGAGCTAAATGTAAAGGCCAGAGACATACTTTTTTCCTAATACCACCCACTGCAAACTCTAATTCTGAACTGATTCTCACCTATCAATCCTATTAAATGTTCTGAGTAACTTGGATGTCACTGATTACAACCAGGATGGTAAAGAGTTCAGGTAACAGAAGGAAAAAAGACATTGTGTATGATGGTAAACTTTTCTTAGTTTCCTTTTAGAAACTTCTCACAGGGCTTGCTTGTTTTAAAACAACCCATCAATCTACAAAACCACACAGGAGCTCTTCTAGATACAAGATGAGATTTTAACCAAGAATTCATTATGCCTAGCACAATAAAATAGAAAAGAGAAAAACAAAGTCAGGTGAGAGAACTGATTAGTTAGCTGGACATGCAAACAGCAAGCTCTTTTCTATTCAAACAGGAAATGTATATTTACAGACTAAGAATATCACAAGAATGAATGACAATCACATTTTAACAGTGTCTGGAGATTTAGGTTAATAAGCAAGGTATCATTTATACATGTAACCTTGCCTGCTGTAAAGTGAACCACTAATTTGTCAACCCCATTTGGAGGAAGACAACGGGATTCCATAGGTCAGCTCCATACAGGACTGCACGTTAATCACATTAATTTTCCAAACCCTAACAACAAATGTCCTTCGGATGCAAATGGGGCTGTTTTGGGGTTATAATGAATTGCCCTGATCTTGTAAAGTCTTTTAAAACATCTGTTTGGCTACAGATAACTCTGTAGCAACGTGGCAAAGAAAAGGCAAAGCATGCACACCAATGGAAGCACTGTGCAACAGGGGCTTACAGATCTTACTAAAAATATCCATAACATCTGAGGAGGACAAAAAAAAAAAAAAACAAAAACAAAACCAGCACAAGTTGTAGGACCATGTTGAATTTCCTCCGCAGTTACACATGCAGATCTAATCCCAACCTCTTTGTAAATAGCCTCTTAATATAGAAATAGTTTAGTTTTACAGATCAGAAGTCAATTTCATGTTTATATACTCTACAAAACATAGTTGCTCTACAGACATCAAAAGTTCTCTGTAGCATGAATTCCCTTTGAGGAGGACAGAGAATTTTCCTGGTGAAAACTTGAGAATTCCCTTTTAGCTTTAATGTATTTGCATATTAGTCTGCATGAGTCCTCTGCACACAGCTGAGTACTGTCCTGTGGCAATAGTTAGCAGCTCAGAGAGACAAAAGTTGTGTATGAGGAGGGGATTAAACTTCCCTGGGCTTTTGTGGCCTGCTTCTGAGCAAATGGAAAAAGGTTAGTCCAAATGACCATCTGCTGAGGTTTGAACTTAAAATGTGACTTGTTCTGTAAAGGCCAGACATGGCCATTCAACTTGGAACAATTTGGAAAAAAATGTAACTTTGTAGCTGAGACCCATCCACTTTGGAGCAAAGTTACACACATCAGTTTGAAATTTCTCTGTGTAACATTGCCTGTAATCAAGACTAGAAACTATATATCAAAACCAGTCTAAAAAGTTGTTTGTATTTTGTGGCTTCTGGGTCCTGGTTCCTAGGCAAGACCTGCGTGTCTAATCTTAACAAGTGTATTCATGCCCTGACTGTAACAAAATTCCCTCTCATTCAGCTCCTTTTGTTGATTTTACCACCAGAGGAGATAATCAGGCTCTATGGTTTATCTCTTCTTTTTTCTTGTGGAGGTTTTCAGGCACCACAGAAGTTGGTACTTCAATAAAGAGTAATTTCACTGATGTTTTCTATGTATCATCTTTAGAATATTGTAGCTAGATTGTCTAATCTGCTTTGTAATAATGGTAAGAAAGTGCTTGGTTTTATTGGTATTTCAAAACATAAAAAGAGAAAAATAACAAATCCATCAGAAGTGTGGCAAAGAATATTGGACAGCAGAGCATACCTGTAATGACATAACACAACTGCAACTTGCAACATTGCAACTGCAATATCTCTTTTTTTTTTTTTAAGAGATGTAAAAAAACCCCAAAAACATGTATGTACTTATAAAAGCTTTTACATTTATTTAAATTCTCATTGTGCCAAGAAAGAAAATATGTTCCGTAGTGGCTGAGAATACGTTGGGAAAAAAGTTGAAATTGCATCCATTTCAGTGCATTTGTTGGCCATTTCTATGAAAAGCGAATTTGACTTGAGCAACCCCAAGAGCACTGAGAAGGTGCCTGGGGAAGCCATGGAATGTGGGTTGCAGCACATTTAGGAGGTTTAGGCTGTGTGAATGGCTTTGACTCCTTAGGGAGAGGTGGTGGCAAATGCACAAGGAAAATCATAGAATCACAGAATGGTTTGGGTTGGAAGGGACCTCAAAGATGATCTAGTTCCAAGCCCTCTGCCATGGGAAAGGATGCCTTTCACTGCACCTGTTTGCTCAAAGCCCCGTTCCAACAGGCCTGGAACATTTCCAGGGATGGGGCAGCCACAGCTTCTCCGGGCAGCCTTGTGCCTCACCATCATCTTATGGAAGAATTTAGTCCCAATATTCATTCTTTCTATCTATCTGTCCGTCCGTCCATCCATCCATCACCTACTCTCACTTTGAATCCATTACCCCATGTCCTATCGCTACATGCCCTTTAAAGTAGTTCCACCAATAAATGACAGGGATGCACAGTCTCCTGTCCCCTGGGATGTATTTTGGGCTGAGGGCCGTACAGAAGGAGCATTTTCAGCGTTTTAACGCAGTGACTGACCCACGTAAAGCCGGGAGAGGGCTGGCGGGCAGCTCCGCGGGTGCGCCTGAGGGGCGGGCGGCCCTTGGAGGACCAACAGAAGGGCAGCATTACCCAACGGGAAACTGCGCCTCCAAATTCCCCCTTCCTACGACAGCCCCTTCCCACTGCCCGCTCCTGCCTCTCCCACCCTTCCCACGGCGCTCCCGCCCCCGCGCCGGACGCGCTCCGAGCTGGCGCCGCCCCCGCTCCCGCCCGGCCCGGCAGGAGCCCCGCCCGCTCCCGCTCGGCTCCGGCTCGGGCTCGGGCTCCGCTGCGCTCCACGGCCGGGCCGCCAGCGCCGCTCCCGCCGGATCTGCTGCGGCTGCTTCCCCGCCGGGAGCCGGACGCTGCCCGCTCTCCGCGCCAGTGGCGGTGCTGCTGCCCCCGCTGCGGGAATTGGCGCTCCGGGCCCGCCGCCGCCGCTGCTGCCCGGCGGAGCCGGCGGGGAAGGGGCTGAGCGGGGACCCGCGCATTGTGCGAGCCCGCATGGGCACGGCGCGGGGGCGCGGCCGCGGGGCTCCTGCGAGCCTCTCGCCCGGCCCCCGGCAGCGCCCGTAGCCGGGGTGCGCCGCGCTCGGCCGTGAGGGATGCTTTTGTGCGCCGCAGCGGGCAGCGGCGGGGCCGGGGCTGCGCTGGCCGGGCAGGTCGGGCGCCGCGCTCAGCCGCAGCCCTCCCGGCCAGAGCGGCCGGGCGCGATGCTCTTCTAGGCGGCCCGAGCCCTTGCGAGCGCGGCGGGCGGGCGTAGCAGCCCTCCCGTAGCGGAGCTGGGAGGGCGGGCAGGCGGCTCCCCATGGCGAGCAGCCGGAGCATCGAGCTGGAGCACTTCGAGGAGCGGGACAAGCGGCAGCAGCGCTCCGGGCCGCGGCGCGGAGGCTCCGGGTCCGGCGGCGGCGCGGGGCCGCGGGGCAACGGGCTGGTGCCCAGCCCGGCGCACAGCGCGCACTGCAGCCTCTACCGCACCCGCACCCTGCAGGCGCTCAGCTCCGAGAAGAAGGCGCGCAAAGCCCGCTTCTACCGCAACGGGGACAGGTACTTCAAGGGCTTGGTGTACGCCATCTCCCCCGACCGCTTCCGCTCCTTCGACGCCCTCCTGGTGGAGCTCACCCGCTCCCTGTCGGACAATGTGAACCTGCCCCAGGGCGTCCGCACCATCTACACCATCGATGGCAGCAAGAAGCTCACCAGCCTGGACGAGCTGGTGGAAGGTGAGGACGGTGCCAAGGTCCGGCTGGACCTGGTGGTGGGTTGTGGGCACTCCTTGGGGTGAGCTTCCCTGTCCCTTCCCGGATCAAAGCGGAGAGGTCGCCTTGTGACAACTGGCGGCCGCAGAACCCGTGAGGGCGAGGGCAAGTAGCCGGGGTTGTGAGGGGCAGTGGGGCCTCGTTTTCCCAGTGTGGACCATTCACTTCTCCCATCACCTTCAGCGCTGCCATCTGCATGCACCGGGCTTGACTCCAATGGTAGTTAAGCAGCAGGTGCTCTTTTCATCTGCAAGAGCTGTGAAGTTTTTGGTTACCTTCCATTTGTAATAGAGGGAAATGCTGTAATCCTCCAAGTGTCATTGTTGACTCACAGTGGATTCACAGAAGGAGCCCCAGTGCTGTGAAAAAAGGGTATCTATATCCCACCATTTATTAAAACTAACAGGTGTAATGCCCTAGTTTCAAATGTGATCAGAGCCCATATTAACAGAGAGAATTATCTACCTTGCCTGACTTTCAAAAGCATGTTATGGAATCAGATGTATTTTAGAGTTGTTCCTAAGTAGCTTTTCATAATGGGACTTAGCTGCTGAGGTTATGTAGACCTTGCAAATCTGAACAGAGCAGCGCTTGACTGTCTCAAAATGGGACCAGAAATATTGTTTTGTGAATGACACATATGCCCCTTGTTTGTGGGGAGTGATAATTATTGGAATGAGGAGCAGAATTCCCCAGTCTTTTCACCTGATGTCTTAAAATACAGTTTGAGCTCAGCATTGCCTCCTTCCCAAATGCCCAGGTGCACGCTGAGAGGTTTGTAATGAATTTGCATTTGATGGTTGTTTTCAATACATCATCTACCACCACAGTCTTCCACCCTCTGACTCTGTGTGCCAGGTGTAGCTGGTTTGCATTAATGAAGAACTGGGATTTTTTGTAGGCCTCCCAATGCTTCCTGCATCCTAGGTCTTCAGCTGCCTATCCTTTGAGCTTTGGTTTGGAAGCTTTCCTTTTCAAAGCAGTGCTGAATCACACCTGCAGAATTGGATGAGAAAGGGAACCTGAAGAACTTTATCTAATCCACCAGTAAGGACATTGGGAGTTAGGGACCAGCTGCTTCACAACATGGAAGAGGAAGGGGGATCTGCAGAATGTGCTGTGCCAAATGAGTCTCCCTCAAAAAAGATGTGCATGGAAGGGCACTTCCTGATAGTGCCATAGTGCTGAGGACTTACATGATCTACTATAAGGCTGTTTTACACTGACAACTGAAGTATGAAGTGGTTGTAGAGTGAAATACTGACCCTGTGGTGGTAAAAAAAATTAAGTAAGTAAAAACCTTTCATGATTTGGTGTTTAATTTAGACACCTTAAAAAAATATGATATGCTGAAGTGGTCACAGAAGTAAAAGGAGATGAAACTAGCAATAACATGGTGTGACTTCTGAAATGTTGCAGCAGGAATGATATTAGACTTTTATGACTTGAAACAAAGACAGAATTACTTGCTGGACAGCCATATATACTCTTACAACTATAAATTAATAATTGAAAGCAAAACTTACTATTTGTCTCTTCAAATACTCATTGAAACTGTAACCTTTGATGTGGCTCTTTACTGGAAGAATAAAGCAAAATAAATGTCACAGTCAAAATGCCACTTCCATGCTTTCTCAATGAAATAAAAGGGGGGAAAAAAGAATCCCAAGGACTTAGTCATCTATCCAATACAACTCTCAGAAACATTAAGAAAATCCTATAGCACCATAATTGGATTAGTATGTTCTCCAGTAAGCATGCTAAAAACTTCACCAGTGTAAGACTAATCACACAGAGAAAGAAAAGTATGTAGAGGAAGGAAAGGACAGCCAACAAGTAGTGAATCTGTCATTCCTTGAAATGATTTGTGGCTTTTGCCAGCTGTTTTGTTCTTGAGGTGCTGGAAGAGATTTGATTTGGGTTCATGTTCTTTATTTCTCATGGTTACTGCACAGCAAGCTTGAATTTCTGCTCTTGAGTAAATGCTCCAACATTGGTGTTGACCTAAGCTTGACCTGCGGAAGCACCAGAAGTAGTTTTGAGTGGTATTTTGCTGTATTTCAATGTTTTCAGAAAGGAAAATTAAACTGAAATAAAGTGCTGTGGTGTGTGCCAGCCACAGGCTGAGCCCCAGACGGGCCATGGCTGCGCGATGCAATACCGAGCTCGCTGCTCTCTTGGCACCTTCCCAGTGCTCCTGAACTGGGACGTGGAGTCACAGCAGTTCAGGTTCAATAGTGGCAGATCTCTGCAGTGAGCAGAAGGTGAGTGCTCTGCCAACCTTGCCAAGCCAGCAAGATCTGCATTAAGCCTCCCTCAGCTCCAGCCTGTGTGTGTAGCTCTTGGACAGTGACGTGTCCCAGTACAGGGCAAGCTCTTTAAGGCTTATTTGCTGTTTATCTATCTGGGATATAAAAGCTGGCAACATCAAATTCTATATCATACTGAGCTGAGTCACTGATAAATGTTGGGTTTTTTTGAGTTTGGCTGTATTTGGCAATCTGTTTTATTGCTTGTCATTTTAAGAGAAAAAGAGCTGGTGCATGGACATACTGAGGATATGAAGACATACTGAGGATATGAAATATTGCTGTTCTGGGTTGAGCCAGTTAAAAATTGCACCAGATCATGTTTATTAGTCAAAAATAGAAGCTCCATTTTATGAAGCATATTGCTTTTCTTAACTGGATATGACAATCAAAAAAGCATGCTCTGCTGGACCAGCCTAAGGCAAATATAATTTATATTCTCAGCCCCTGTAGATTAGGAAACATTATGAGTTTGACAGTTTTCACTGTTTCCTTAAAATGGGTGGAATTTCATTGTCTGCTTCAGATCTGTTTGAGCAGGCAGATCCAGAGAGGAGGTGGGGGCTGGGACTGTTATGCTTTCTTATGGTGTTCTTTCTTACAGCTTTACTCTCAGACATAACACTACTTTTATTTTAGAATACACCATTTCACGTGTAATTTTATACTTACCCTTCAATATAAAATATTAAAAGGTAGATTATTTTTTATTTTCTACCAGAGTTGGCTATTTAAATGTTTGTCTATTTCCTTCAGTTTCCCTTGAAAATATAAGCTTCCTAAAGCGTGATGCCATGGTAATAGAGCTGTGCAGCTCTTTAGTCCTGAGCTATGTGTTGTATGTGGATGTTGGTTGTGCTCTGTCTCTTTGTTTTCACTGCCTTGTTAATGAAGGACCTGGAGAATCCCGACTGTACAGGTCTGCTGCAAAGCTGGGAGGTATTGTTGGATTTTGGGAGATGAAAGCAAGTGTAGAATTTATTCCTGGAAAGAGAAGTTCCGTTTGGTTTGCATCTAATAGGAATCCTAGTTCCCTAGAAAAATGGCTGAGAGTCTTTGTTCGTTCAACAACAATGCGTAATTAATACAGTCCTTTATAAAATGTCAAGAGTTTTGTCTGCATGGTTGTGCACACAATCAACAGGCATCTGTAGGGAAGTCCTTGGGCAGGAGGTGGGAAGGTTTGAGGCAGGGCAGTCCTTATACATGGCCAGGACACCTAGCACAGGGCAATATCTGATTTACAGAGCTCTGCCTCACGAACACAGAGTAAGAGAATGTGTTTTGAAATGAGGTGTTGAACAGTCCAAGTTTTTTCTGCCTTAGACCATAGTTGTTACTGCATATTACATTTTAATCCTGCATGAAGTGCCTGTGACTTTGGTTGATGTGCACTGTTGTATTAGGTCAAGAATATCTTTTCTCTTGTCAGGGCAAGCAGATGGTAGCACCAATTAATTAGGCAGTTTGTATTTTTGCTCATTTCAAAAGGTATGATTACCCTCCTGTGCTAGAGCCAGAAGCTGTAGCACTTTAAAAAACAAGAGGCAAATGTAATAAGTTGAACAAAGAAGGATAAAAAAGGCGGATGAAAGAAGGATTAAATAACACTGAGAGCATATTCTTCAAATATGTTCAAATCACTGTACTGATACAATTCTGGAGCAATGGGGTGTGGATGTGAAATGCAGAAGTAATTCTTAGTTCACTTCCATCCAAGTAAAATAAAACAGTTCCATCACCATCTATTCCTAGTTTCATGGATGGGGGAATTCTAGTTTACCCGAAAAGGGTTTTTTAGTTTCTGTGAAGAAGGCACATGGTGTCAGGTGTGTTTGATACCCGGTGGCATTGACTGTCTTCCGAGAGCTTTTACCCTGCCTGAGCAGGGCGCTGAACTTCCAGAGTCTCTTCCAATCTCAGCTGTTCTGTGGAAGCCTGTAGGAAGCTGTAATCTACACATCTTAATGTCTAAATCAAATCAAAAGAGAAATAATAGCAGTCATCTGCTAAAATCCCAGTCGTCCCAGGTTTTAAAAACTGCATGGGGAATTCTGAGTGCTGTAGATGAGGAAAGATCATGACTTATACAGGGTTATTAAAGGTGATATGAAAGTGAATTGTATGAAACTGACGAGGAGGGAAGTTGCTCAAAGTAAGGAAGGAAAGAGAAATTGAAATAACTCAATCCTTCATAAAAGGGGTTATTTTATTTTTAGATCAGTCATATATGCTGTAAATACGCTGTTCCGGAAATCTGCTTGGCTTTGTGTTACAGAACACGGAAAGGGTACTCTGGTGAGTTTCCTAAAGTTAGAAAGAAGGTCAGTAGCCTTAATAACTACCTTGCTGTGCTAAATAAGCAGCTTTTGGTGGCTTTGAAGCTAAAGAGTTGCACCCAAAGAAGCCGAGGAACATAAGGTGAATAGGTGAAATCTGTGTAGATACCTGCCCTGTCCTATGGGATTCACAGGGGAACACATGCCTAAAAAATATGGAAACTGTTTTCCTTCCCTAGGGATGTTTTTACCTGTCAGCTGTACCATTCTCTGTTATGCAGAGTGCCATTTAAAAAGTGATCCTTTATGTGACTTTCAGGAGACAGTGCTTATTATCTTGCAAAAAGCAAGCCAGAAAATCTTATTCAGGTACTTT